AGGCCATAAGAAATAACAAAAAAACAAATGTAATCAAGAGCGATACAGTAGACTACTATTAACTGTAGTCAAGTGTATCTTATTTAAACAATATTCATTTGTGTACGCTTATCCACTTGTGCATTATATGCACAAGTATGATCTACTTTGCGAATTCCTACTGCTTTCACGTCGTTAATATCATCATCGATATGCCCTAACAGCACGGAGTAAGCTAAAACAATTTTCGGATTTTGCCGGTTTAGCAAAAATGCAACTATCTCTCCTTCGGGCTAGCAACCAGAAAGAGCTAATTTAGTGCTTGCCCCATTCTCGATGCATTCGCTCCATCATGATTAGACAAATTGCATACTTTTTCAACTTTTCCGCCGTTCCTCTAACCTTCTTCTAAACAGCTTATTCCATTTTTTTCGCCGTCCCTCGATCTGTCTTCTGAAAGGAGCCTCTTCAAATATCGATTCGCGTCTGGGCTGAAATCTCACTTCCAACTACTTATAATGGAGTAGTATGACTGTGATTTAAGTAGAAATGTTTGGTTGTGTAAATCCGACGAAACGCTGCGACCGAACAGGGTCCACACCATTTTGATCTTCACATCGACGACCCAATTGCGGTGATAATGTTGCCGTTAAATGCACTGATTACAGCGGATCAAAGAAAAAACAATCATAAGTCAATCTTGTAATTTGACCTTTCTCAACTGTTCCAGACGTTATGGCATCCCATCCAGTTTTTGCAATTTGATGTGGAAATATCATTTCAATAAATACAATGCTATAGTGTATCGAGTCTTCTTGCAAAAAATTAGAGAATGCATATGATTTTAGCTATTAAATCCAGACTCAGGCATGATTTGAGCCAGATTTTCTCACACAGAAGGACTGCCCGAAACATGTCGGTAGGGATATTGGACTTATTCGAAAAAGGCACCAGAAGAAACTGAATAAATATGGGGTCTACAGGCAGGCCAGAGTCAATCCATCCGGCAAAAATGAAGATGTCTCTATACTGACGCATCTCACAGTCCAGAAACGAAATGAGGATAAAGTGGCGAATCTGTCTTGCGTCTCTCTTGACTGGGAGACCGCAGAGATCGTCCAGAAGAGAGTCACTTTTGCACTCTGCAATGAAAGAAATGCAACCGAGAACATGCCTCAGAGAAGCCGATTTTGAAGAAGGAAAAAGAGAGCTGGAAATGGAAATTGTTGCAGCACACTTGGCGCATCAAGACAGGTAGAGAAGTGAAAAGAGATGATCGGATGGTCGTACAAGCCGACAAAGGAGGGGCCATTGCGGTGATGGACAGGAAGAAAGAGACAGAAAACATGGAAGCTATTCTCGGGACAGTTCACCGCCTCGACAACTGACAACAGCCGCAACGGTTACGAGCAAAGGAGCACTGCAAGAAATGGTGGATGAAGGAGATGAATGGGAATGGGGAAATCGTCAAATGGACGATGAACTGGCTCATACGAAGGGAGGCAAGAGCCCCAACAGCATACCGTTTGGCGAAGGTGTTCAAAGAAGAGGAACCATTGAGACTGACAGTCGACGGGAAACATGGACCAACAGAAAAATATGGCGAAGAACTGAGACGAATTTTGCCGAAGAAGCAAATGCGTGAGTTTGTAAGAAAACGAACTCATCAAAGCGAGCTTTGATGTACCGTCCATGCACACCAACATCAGAGGAGAAAAAGCACTCACGGCACTAATGGAGCTCTTGGACAAGGAGGACGACCTCGCGAAGACGGAGCGAATGCGTAGAGAGTCTCTAACCCGATTACTCAACCTGACAATAAGAACGATCTATTCCACGCTCGACGGCCGCGTGTATGAGCAAACATGTGGTCTGTCTTTGGGTTGAAGATTCTCGGTTCTGTTGGGAAAAGTGTTGATGGACAAGCTGTCCGAAAAGTTGCCAATGTCCCTTCAGCAGGCAACGGTAATTCTGGCATATTCGGATGACTACTCGGCAATCTGGAAAGTAGACATTCGACGACTTGTTGATAAAGTAAATGGATGAAAAGGGTACATTTGGCGTGGCTGTGAAAGAGAAGGACACTTACCTTTCGTGGGTATAAAGGAGACGGTCAAGAGACTAGTTTTTCTAAAGAAATCACATGCCGCAATGAGTGTTAAGTTCCAGTCGAAGCATGCGTATGGAATGAAGATTGGAATAGTGCGGAGTATGGGGATAGGAAGTTAAGGACTGACTGGTTGCTGGTTGTGGGAAGACGAGCTTGGAAAGAAAAGTGTGCTGTGTCTTGGAAAGGGATGTCCATAAGAGGCAATGCAACACAACATGGGGATGGTGATGAAGAGATGGACGGACGGAGATGGGGAAAGGAGAGCAAGAGGAACGGAGGGAAAAGGGTGGATCTGTCTAGCCTCCTGCAGCCAATGCTCTGGAAAGGGAAGATTCGTGCAATCCTGAAGGAAAAAAAACCCTCTTCACCAGCTCGCCAACGACCGACGCAACAGGAAGAGGTCAGCATCAACTGCGAGGACTGTCAGCAAAAGTAGGTCAGGGATTAAGCAGAAAAATTGATACCGAAAGATCGGAGATGGCCTAACACGTCGCTCTTGCTGACCACCCGATTGGCTCGAGAGCAACGGAAGGACTGGCTTCGTGTGGGGAAAAGACGCGGAAAGGAAAGATCAGCGAGGCTGTGAACATCCTCTTTCAAGGAGACATAAGGAACAGAAGGTTGGAAGAGGCGAGAGTCGGCAATAAGAGCAGACTCGGAGATTCAACGAAAACGTCAAAAAGAAGAAGCTTGAACCCAGGATAACAGTTTCACAGCAGTTAAACAACAGTTCCACAACAGTTCCGCAGCAGTTCCACATCAGGTTTACAACATTTCCACAACAGTTCGACAAATGTTCTGCAATAGTTCCGCAACAGTTCCACAACAGTTCCCCAACAGTACAACAACAGTTCAACAAAAGTTCAACAACAGTTCGACAAATGTTTCACATTAGTTCCACAACAGTCCCACAACAAGTTTATAACAGTTACACAACAGTTTCGCAACAGTTACACAACAAGTTTACAACAGTTCCACATCAGGCTTACAACAGTTCCACAAAAGTTCGACGAATGTTTCACAATAGGTCCACAGCAGTTCCGTAACAGGTTTATAACAGTTTCACATCAGTTCCACAACAGGTTTACGAGAGTTCCACAATAAGTTTACAACGGTTCCACAACCGGTTTATCACAGCTCCGCAACAGTTCAACCACAGTCCCAAAACATTTCCGCAAGAGGTTTACAACGGTTCCGCAACAGTTACACAACAGTTTCACAACAGGTTTACAACAGTTCCACAATAGTTCCGCAACAGTTACACATCAACTTTACAACATTGTCACAACAGTTTGACAAATGTTCCACAATAGTTCCGCAACAGTTCCACAACAGTTCATTAACAGTTTAACAAAAGTTCCACGACAGTTCCACAACAGTTTGACAAATGTTTCACAATAGTTCCGCAACAGTTACACAAAAAGTTTACAACAGTTACACAAAAGTTCGACAAATGATCCACGAAAGTTCTACGACAGTTAAACAACAGTTCAACTACAGTTCCACAGTAGTTCTACAACAGGTTTACGACAGTTCGACAACAGGTTTACGACAGTTCCACAACAGTTCCGCAACAGTTCTACAATAAGTTTACAACAGTTCCACAACCGGTTTATCACAGTTCTACGACAGTCCGACAAATGTTCCACAACAGTTCAACCACAGTTCCACAACAGTTCCGCAACAGTTGAACCACAGTCCCAAAACATTTCCACAAGAGGTTTACAACGGTTCCACAAGAGTTCCACAAGAGTTCCTCAATATTTTTGCAACAGTTACACAATAATTACGCAACAGTTCCACATCAGGTTTACAACATTTCAACAAAAGTTTGACAAATGTTCCACAATAGTTCCTAAATAGTTCCACAACAGTTCCACAACAGGTTTACAACAGTTTCACAACAGTTCCGCAACAATTAAACAACAAGTTTACAAGAGTTCCGCAACAGTTCCACATCAGGTTTACAATATTTCCACAACAGTTCGACAAATGTTCCAAGACAGTTCCACAACAGGTTTACAACATTGCTACAACAGTTCAACAATATTTCTTCAACAGTTCCGTAACATTTCTACAACAGGCGATAATTTCGTGTGCTGCCTGAGCAGACTCAGAGATTCAACGAAGACGTCAAAAAGTGGACGAGTAGTGGATCCAAGGAAAAAACAAGACTCGAAAGAGGAAAACTTTCAACATTGGTCCCTCAGGGCAACTTATAAGACATAGAGTATAGTAAGCAATTGGCAGTTTTTAAAGGTTACTCTCAAAAGTGCGATAAATGTGAAGGAGCATGATCTGTCTGATTTAACAAATGAAAATGAAAGTGCTCTAATACAATTCAGCTAAACTCACAACTTCATTTCGCCTAAGTTACTAACTCCAGAATACTTACTCTCAATTACTCTAAGCATACAATTAAATTGCTCCTACCTGTAAACCTACTAACAAACGATAAATATTAATATTATTTATTTTTATTTGTTCATTTATTTATTATTATTGAACTACTGTACATATTTATTCAAGTTTGGACTATCAGTAAATCAGTCATATGAGAATTATTCATCCTATTTCATTTAAGGTGATGAAGGATTGGTAGTAGAATTTTCCCACAATGATATGAGTTGAGCTGACGTTTCCATTGCATTTCACATTGCTTTGCTTACCCAAAAGTTGTCCTTATCCAGGGTGGACTGCAGTTTGACTCCCGCTGGGGGTGTTGATAAGACCAGTTGAGGCGAGGTTGAAACTGCAGTCCACTTCAGCTGGGATGTGAAAAACTTTTGGGAAATCAAGGCAATGTGAAATTTAGTGGAAACGTCAGCTCGACTCATATGATTGTGGACAAATTCTACTACCAGTCCTTTATCACATTTAATGAAATAGGGTGAATACATCTCATATTACATATTTATTGCCAATCTCAAAGCTCTACTTATATAC